CATGCCAACTATACTGATATACTTTTCAAACATTGAATTATCTACGAAAATTTGCAGTAATCTTTCGTAAGCGTACACAACATATACTATGACATAACAACTAATCACATAGCTATCTTTCAGCCATTCAGATTACAAACAAACTAGTTTCACTATGTCAAATTCTCTTTTTTATAAAAGAAAATTTTAAAAAACTTCACTTTAAGGCTGAAGTAAATAAACAATAGTTTTACGAAATCTAACACTTAAATTCTTCAAAAAATCAAATGTCAAAATTCGCCATAAAGACCAACACAGCTCATAAAAATCATTTAAATACTGGTAATTTCCATGTTTATCTTTACATATTGTTAGTAGATTTCTCTGAAAATTGTTGGTTAAGTATATTGTACTTTTGTTCGTAATAAAAATAAATCATAATATTCTTTTCGCTATAAATGAGTTAGCGATTTCCCTTGCGATTGAAAATTTTCTCATTGTGGTAAAAATTTCAATTTCATCAATAGTATACTATTGATTTCTTCAATAGTATACTAGATAAGGTATCGACTGTACTATTCTAAATATGAAATACTATTCTAGATATCTTAAGAAAATTCAGTAGACAACATGTTCTTTAAGTCCTGAATATGACTATAATGAATGGAGTGAAACGACAGAAAATCAAGATTGATCTAGCGAAGAAATGTTAAAATATTTTAAAAAGCTACAAATTCCAATTTTACATAAGTGAATGCAGATCCTAAGTATCATGGTATTGTTGGATCTGTCAACATTATTAATCCACCGTATAAAACTCCTCCTGCTGGTGAAAATTATATCTTACCAATGCCTTTCACTCAAAGATGATGAAGAATTAGATTATTCCTCAGTAGACTATAATGAAGAAAAATTAACTGGCTTATATTGCATACGAAAGAACCAAAGAAGTGGCGAAAGATTATCTTACTAATAAAACATACTCGTATCCTATGAAAAGTATAAATCTAGTGATCAGTATGTGTAGTCACATAAACAAAGTGATAATCGATTCTGATACGAAAACGGCAAAGGGCGTTGAATTTTCTAAGCCTGGAAAAAAATAAAGACGTTTACAATAAAGGAAGTCATATTGTCAGCAAGTGCAATAGACACTCCATATATTTTGATGATGCCTGAAATTGAACCTGCCGATCATTAACGCGAACTTGGTATCGATATTATAGCCGACCTCCCTGTAGGTCAACATCTCATGGATAATATTGATTACGGAGGTTAAATGTTTATTATTATTAGTTATTTATTAATTATTTATTCTGCCAAACTTTTTAAATTCAGTCAATTCCACTGTATCTGAATATTTAACAGAGAGAAACAAGCTTAGAACGATCACAAGTACGAGTATAACGATCAGAGAGTGAGCTATATAAACTCCAATACTTTAAGCCCTCACGATGAAAACCCGGATGTCGAATTAACGGTGGCAAGTGACAGTCTAATGTCTAATAACATAAATTTCAAGAGTTGTAGGCAGATCATATTTACACATCATACACTTTGAATATGTTACTGAAACCCAAAATTGGAGAGAAAATACTACTGGGAAGTACCAAAAATATATCACATTTACTTTGAAGATCTCGAAGATGTGCGCGCCAGCTTCACGGCTATTCACATGTCCATCAAGCTCAGCAAAATTCAAGTGATGTGAAAATATAGACAAATAAACTATGTGCTTGTTATAGGTGACTTGAAAAATTCTTAGAATCACTGCTCCTTTTATTATTGCACATACCAATATTCCAACGATCGCAAACGTTGAAAGAGGTGTTTGTTTAATAAAAGCGCGTTATGATTACATTCAATGATATTTACAGTAATTATAAAAAAAAATTTTACCGATAAGAAAAACAATCGTCAAAAAATATATTATCTATATTATAATTTTATTCCATCTTTTCCATTTGATGTTGAATACAAACCATTTAACTTCGTGAATATTTAAAAAAAATTTATTTCAAGTCGTAGGTAATTTATGTTTTGTAAAGAAAGTTAAAGATAATTTATTAAAGATGATTCAATTGGAATGTCCTTAACTAATAACAAATGTGGTTTTCAACAATAATTTCAATTTTGTTTTTCACATTTTCATAGAATGTTTGCTGTATAACGATGTATGAAATTCATAATCAAGCCCCTTATAAGTAAATAAATACAATGATGAAACTTATTCGTCCACTCTAATGCGTAATACCTTGTCACCGTCAGACGTGCTAACCTACTTATATAACTGGTTCTATCTCTATCAAGGTACGTTGACATTGTTTGCGTTCCACTCTTGTCCACTTGTGCTGTTTCACCTAAAAGCAGGCATTCACGGGCATCGTTGCAGCTAAAATTCTGCATAAAACCTGCACCGAAAAATATCCATTGTTTTGTTTTATAATCCGAATAGATTTTATGTAATGGAAAAAAGATATATTAACATAAGAGATTTACGAGAACGAAATTTTCAGGACAACGTTTAATCGAAAGGGCAAAGTAGCAGCTCAAGTTACGCGAGTAGAAAAACAAACAAGTGGGATATCGGGCTGTTTAGCAGCCATAGAAGTCTCGCCGACTGTACGAGGATGAACTTTTGGCCAGACGAATACTTCGACCATCGGCATGGGTGGTAGAGCTTCCTTTATCAGACTACCGCACTATCACGTCCCCTTAGTTGCGCTTTGCTATAAATTATTTTTCGACGTTTGAATTTACTTCCGAGGATATACTGCAATGACTAGATATTTGTCGAAACTTTTTCAAGTTCATATTTACCATTCAGCACATTCAACAAAACCAATATAGTCATTAGATATTTGTAAATAAATACGATGACGAAAGAAATATTCTTCATCAAATAAAACTTCTTGTAAAATCGCCGCTCTTGATCATTCTTCTTTTAGACATTTGCTCTTTCACTCTCCGCTCTCTTGTTCACTTTCTCTCAGCTCTGTTTGGATTTCTCTGGGTCGTACTCGAGAGATGCACAAGCACACAAAGAAAGAGAGGGAGGAGAGAGAGAGAAAGAGAGGAGAGAGAGAGAAAGAGAGGAGAGCGAGAGTAAGCAAGGGTGTGTATGTACAGTCGGGGGAGAATCTGAAGTCAGCGTGCGTACGTCTGGTATGTGGAGGGGGTGTCTGGGTCAATCCCCTCCAGGTCCGTGGAGTATATTGGGGGTTACCGATCCTCAACGCATTTCCCGGGGCTCGATACTTAATTCTCTTTCTCATAACTCCATTGCTGTCACGTAAAATTCACAATTCAATTCTTTTTCATATAAATTTAAAAATTTTATATTTCTCGGAAACCTCTTTTTCCTCGCCATTTTTTCCCAATCATAATACAGTTTTCGAAAAATCAATTTTGATCTTAAAAACGTTAGAACTTATAATATTGTTCAGAAATCAATAATCTAAATGTTGAATTGGTATAAAAATATATGTCATATTCTAAGAATATAAAATTATAGTCGATCCACATTTAATATTCAGGTTGAATTAGAATCAAAATATACCATTTAAAAATAGTTCTGAAGACACTTCATTAAGAGCAATCTGGTTTTTTCTAGTTCGATGTTTGGTCATGAACACCTTTTTCAAATCGAAGTCAAGGTTTTTACTATTATAAAAAATATCTAGGTTTTTAATTGAATTTAATACCGACCATAAATAATTTTTTAATTATTTCTCGGTCACAAAACCACAATTGAATATACTTTTCTTACATCCAGTTTTACAATAACTTACAAAAATTAACAAAATGTAGATATTTTTATAAATCAGATTTGATAAATCCTTCACAATAATAAAGCTAAAACCTAATGTTACTGATGTTGTATAGTTAAAAAAAATTCCACTATACTTTTTTACTTAAGAGAAGAGAGAATCTAATAGATACTAAATAGAGTAGTTATTTGTCACCGCTTAAACCTCTAGCAATTAATTGAAATTAGACAAATCCCAAAGTAGAGTTTCTCAAGAATCAGAGTCAGTGAGTTCTTCTGGCTAATGATTCTAGAGAAATACCAGTATCGTGTCGGCCGTCGAAGTTGACATATCTTTTTTGCCAAGTATAATTAATTTACAGTTATAATATACCTATATTGTGACAGTATAATTCATATAGTTTGCCAAGTACAATTAATAAAGTTATAGTAGTTTTATATTAATAAATTTATGAATACGGCGCGATATGTAAGAGTTTTGTAATTTTATGAAAATGACCCGTTGTTTCTTAATTTTTATAAATAAATCAATATATAGGTAAGCATCTTATTTTGATTTGTCGATTTTTAACTATATACGTACCCGTTGCCTTTGATAGACTAAATTTACGTATGGTTGAAAAAGTTTGGCACCTTAGTTTCGAAGCGTATATCTTTATGAAAAAACCACATGGAAATGTGACTTACATAGCTTCAGATCTTGTGCATCGATTGATTCGTTAGAGATTTATCTAGGAAAAATTCAGCTTATAGTTTGATTCAATTACTTTAGTTATAAACAGCAATCTCCACAAAAAAAAATTATTTTAGCAATAGTTTGTATGATTACTTTCGGATCCGATAAAAAGCATTAAAAATCTTTTGAGCTTATAATTTTTCCTAAACTTTTAAAAATGTCACTTAAATGTTCAAATCTCTGCGCTTCAAAGTTTAGCATTTAGTTCTGTTAACAAATATCTTATTATTTATATTTGAGCTGAAAATACGATAAATATTATAATATAGAGTGATAATTTATTCAATCTTATCAATGAATACAACAATATTTTGCTAATTGCAATTTATGAATAAAGATTTTGTAGTTAAATTATTTATTGTTTATTTCACAATATGAAGCGAATAAAACATTTTAATATACATATATGTTTTTGCAGAGAACTATAAAGTGCCTTATTTTTCAGTTATACCAGATTTATAAAATTTCAATATGATGGCATACTCCGCATTAATATTTTTAATAGTACTTTCAACAATGCCCCATCCAATATTTAGCTTTTATGGAGATTTGAAAACTATCGTTCAGTCAATATGGAATTTGATCACAATTAAAATGGGCGGTTTGAAATTCACTCAAGATTTTATAGAGTACCAAGAAAGAGAACTGCAGGATGAGACGCCACCAAATCTTCAAGAATACGACTTTATTGTAGTAGGTGCTGGTAGTGCTGGTGCAACCATAGCAGCAAGGCTCAGTGAAATCGATGAAGTGACAGTGCTTCTAATTGAAGCGGGAGGCCATGAAAATTTACTTGTAGATGTACCTTTACTTGCTTTATTTTTACAGTTTGATGAGAATATTAATTGGAAATATCTAACTGAGCCATCAAACGATTATTGTTTAGCTTTCCAAAATCAGCAATGTAGAGTAGCCAAAGGAAGAGTTATGGGCGGTTCTACTACTATAAATTTCATGATTGCTACCAGAGGTATTGGATTAGAAAAAAAAATTTTTATGTAAAATGTTCGTGTTTGTTTTTATGAGAATATAACAATAAAATTCCTTTAACAGGTACAAAAAATGATTACGACGAATGGGCAACATTGACAGAAGATCCAAGTTGGTCTTATGAAGAAATGTTGAAGTATTTTAAGAAATTGGAAAATTTTAATGTTACTTTGGCTGACGTTGATTTTGCTTATCACGGCACCAACGGGCCAGTTAATATAATGAATTCTCCATACTTTACTCCGCTTGGCAAAGCTTTTGTCAAGGCAGGCGAAGAACTGGGATTTCCACCTGTCGATTATAATGGACGGAAACTAACTGGATTTAGTTACATGCAAACCAATCAAATTAATGGCGAAAGATTGAGTACTAATAGGGCCTACTTACACCCAATAAAAAATCGAAAAAATCTTGTTCTCAGTTTACTTAGCTATGTCAACAAGATACTGATAGATCCTGTTGAAAAAACTGCTTATGGCGTCGAATTTACGAAACAAGGAAAAAAGATAAAAGTTATTGCTAAGAAAGAGGTAATATTATCTGCAGGTGCAGTTGCTACACCCCAACTTTTGATGCTATCTGGAGTAGGACCAGCTGAGCACTTAAGAAATTTAGGTATTGATGTTTTAGTAGATTCTCCAGTTGGAGAAAATTTAATGGACCATGTTGCATTTGGTGGTTTGACATTTTTTGTCAACGAGTCCGTAGGAATTGTTATTCCTGAGTACTTAAAGCCTACAAACCCAATGATTTCTAATTACTTGAATGCACGTACAGGTGATTTTGCAACGGCAGGTGGTGTTGAAGGTTTGGGATATATTAATGTGGACGATCTTAGTCCTGATAATATAATCCCAAACATTGAACTAATGTTTGCGTCGGTCAGCGCAGTTTCTGACTACTTTGTACCCTTTTCTTTCGGAGTAGATTCTTCCTTTTGGAAAAAATATTTCGCCGATCAACTTTATCGGCATGCATGGACTATTTGGCCACTTTTAATCAAACCTAAAAGCCGAGGAAAAATACTCTTACGGAATACCAATCCAAGAGAACATCCAAAAATCATTGCTAATTATTTATCTAATCCAGATGACGTACGTGTTTCTATTAAAGGTATTCGTATGGCAATTAATGTTAGCAAAACGGAAGCAATGCAGCGATATGGTTCTGCATTATTTGAACGACCAATGCCAGGCTGTGAACATAATGAACCAGATTCAGATGCTTATTGGGAGTGCGCCTTGAGATCGTTTACTATCACTTTATGGCATCAATCAGGTACTTGCAAAATGGGCCGGGAAGATGACGCTACTGCCGTTGTCAATACCAAGCTTCAGGTATTCAGGTTTTAATTAATAATTTTCACGGGTTCACAAATTGATTTTGGAATTAAATGTGGATTACAGGTTAAGGGAATAAAACGACTAAGAGTAGCAGATGCATCTATTATGCCAAATATTGTTACTGCACATACGAACATCCCAACCATTGCAATTGCTGAAAAATTTTCGGATATACTAAAATCCAATTGGGGCTTCATTACTTTGTAATTTTTACTAATTTTTTATTTGAATTATCTCCGTTACCAAATGTTGATATGAAAATTCTATTGGTTATATTAACTTTTATAACCTTTATATTCCTTAAAAACGAAATTACTATTAGAAATTATGATTTTTAATCATGCTTAATTCATAACTATACATTTTATTAAAATAAAATTCATTATTACCGTCTATAAAAAAATATCATACATTTTCTTTTCACTTCATGAATTGACTTTATTTGTGTTATAAAAATTATGTTTTTTATTTATTTTTTATTACTAGATATTTTAGTAGATATAAAAGAAAACTAATACTGGAAGTATGGCACGTTAAAAATATTCATTGTTTATGTAGGAATTCAGAGATGAAAATTGTAGATATATTGAAACAATTCAAATTAAATTAACAAATCAAGAGAATAAATAATTTTTAATTCAATGACATATCTACGTAAGTAAAGAATTAGACTGAATGAAATTACAAGTAGTTACATATACTCGACTGGAACTGCCTAACCTCTGAAAGAGCATAAAACTCTTGATTAGGGGGTTGAGTATCAATAATATAATATAATAATACACAACTGAAACTATTTATATTAAAATATATTTAAATTTTATTTTATTACATATAGTACCGGTCATATATTTCCAAAAATTTTATGGAAGAAAAGCCACTTTTTAAACGAGGATATCTCCGATTCTATTGATATTAGAATTAAAATAAAAAAGGCAAATGTAAGTAGAAGAGAAATACTAACTTTATATGGATCACAAAAAATTTTGAAGTTATTTATTCTATTTTTTACACCGCTTTAAAAAGTATCACATTTCAAAAGATTTATTAGGTTCTTCAATCACTTGTATTTTTGAAAATATCTGTGATAGGTAAAAGATTCTGATAGAGATTGAAAAATCTTGAAAAAACCTTAGTATGTGTATTTAAAAGTATGGTAAATCTACATTTCACTTTTTGTTAATAGTGATATTTAATCGCTTGTAACTTCTTAAAAAAGCATCGTAGCGAAAAGGTCATGAGTAATAAATCTTAGGTTTTTTCAAGATCTGTCAATCTCTATCAGAATTTTTCATCTATCACAGATATTTTTAAAAATACAAATGATTGAAGAAATTTAAAAATATTTGGAAAGTTGACACTTTTTAAAGTGGTATGAAAATTAGAAAAATTGCTTCAAAAATGTTCGATGTACAAAAAATGCGATTATATCGTATTGTAATAGCAAAACATGTAATAATTATATCAGAATGGTTTAGTGAAATCGTGCTAGTAATAGTTTTATTAACAAGGTATAATACACGAGCAAGCATCACATGAATAAGTTACTCATAATATTTCCTATTATTCTAAATTTGCATAGTAATTAAAAATATTATATTACTTTAATTTTCAAAATATAATTTTTTCAACAACACATTATGTGTAGTTTAGATAAAATACTTTTCACAAGCAAATTAATGACTAGAGGAAGTGTTAATGGCTAATGCGCGCTTATTTTATGCCAGAGTTATTTCTTTCTTTGACTAGTCTACAGCTGTCACTATGAAGTTACAGTGGTTTTCAATATTTCTAATCGTACTTTTTGCGGTTAATAATCCAGCACATGGAGGAATTTTCGACAACATTAAAAATGGAGTGAAATTTATTAGGGATTCAATAGTCTATACATTCAAGGATGTGTACGGAGGGATTGGATTCGGCTTACATTTTCTAAAGCATGCAAGCGAAGAGCACAGTGATCAAACTCCGTCGAATAATGAAGAGTATGACTTCATCGTGGTGGGCGCTGGTAGTGCTGGAGCTACAGTGGCAGCGAGATTATCCGAAGTCGAAGATGCCAAAGTTTTACTTATCGAAGCAGGAGGCCACGAAAATCTTTTGTTTGATATACCTTTAGCAGGTGTGGCTGTATGGTTCGATCCTTTTATCGATTGGGGTTACGAATCCGAACCTTCTAATGAATATTGCTTAGGATTTAAAAATAATCAGTGTAAACTTCGAAAAGGAAAGGTAATGGGAGGTTCCAGTGTAATTAACTTCATGATTGCTTGCAGAGGTATTGTATATAAAATATTATTGGTCTTTAACATTTTTTTAATTAACAAAATCTGTTTTTATCATACAAATTTTTTTCTACATTCAATATTAATAAACAAAAGAAAACATTATTAAACTTCATATAATAAAGAAAAATTTGAATTTGCATATATGGAAAGAATTTATATTTACAACGATTGCGATTCATGTCATATGAGAAGGATTAATTAGGCAAGAAAAACTAAACTCTTTAAAAATCGTACTTTTTTTATTATTACACTTTTCGTGTTTTGACTTTGTCAAAGGTTGTAAACACCAGGTGTTTATACACTTTCTGTCTGTTAAATACAGTGAATAGAAAGTTATAATTATTGTATAAATTTAGTTTTCTATTCAAATTTAATACAGCACAATCTTGTTCACTTTCGTTACCTATAATTGAGCTAAGCAATTTACAGAGCCTAAGAAAATATAGTCAAACTGTTAGGCAAATGTTAATTTATTTATATATGAAGTTCACTCAATACAAATATAAAATGACACTCCATAATTGTTTAGATAAATCAAATTCATGAAAAATATATAAATTAACGAAATTTGACTTTAATATCTATTTAAGGATTAAAATCTGATGATCGATTCAGATTTATTACACCATCATATATAAATCGTGTAAAATAAAGTTAATCTTTTAAAGGCCCTAACTTATTTCAATTTTTCTGTTACTGTGTAATCTTTATGATTATCAATTACAATTTTTCATTCAAGTAGCTTTGTACGTCGGAAAAGATGTTTTATATTTTCACATATATGGAATATCCCTATTATCGACAGCTTAACCCTTTTCCTCCCAAATAACACAAATTTTTTCTTAACTTTCATCCTCATATCTTATAATAAAAAAAATCGTATGAAAAATTTATCAAGCATCATATTTTGTAGATTTTGACCTCCTCTTTCGAATGCCGTTGACAAAATTTACCTAAATTGTAAGCCGGAAACGTTATAGGCCGGTTTTCCGGAAAATTGACAAATTTTTCGCGTTTTTGTTCTAAAAAAAGTATATTTTGAAATGGAAAAACTTTGCACACACCATTGGAAACACTGTTATCGGTGTTATAGATGTCTTTTCTTTCAAATGCCGTTGGATTTTTTCCGAAATTCAAAATGGCGAACACAAAATGGCGTTCGAAAGGAAAAATTTTTTTTTTAAACTTGACGAATTTTTTCCTCCAAAACTATTAAGTTTAGTGAAAAATTTCTAAGAACAAAAATGTCTTAAAATTAGTCAAGAAATACTCTCAAATTTTTTCAGATTTTTTTACAGTGAATTTGGAAATTTCGATTTTCCAAACATATTTAAAAAATGAGAAATTAAAAATATCTAACAACAAACATCGAAAATTGCAAAGTTTTATCTCATTTTTAAGTAGGCAAGATTTACTTTTAAATTTAATTACATAGCAAGCTGCAAATACTCATACTATTATACATATCTAAGATATATTATCTAATATATTACATATTATTCAGGTACGAAAAGTGACTACGATGAATGGGGTGAAGCGACAGGAGATCCAGGCTGGTCTTACGAAGGAATGTTAAAATATTTTAAGAAACTTGAAAATGCCAATCTTACATTAGTTGATGCAGATCCTAAGTATCGTGGTACTGGTGGACCTGTCAACATAATTAATGCTCCGTATCAAACTCCTCTTGCCGATGCTTTTGTTAAGGGTGGCGAAGAGTTAGGTTATTCTTCAGTAGACTACAATGGAGAAAAATTAACTGGCTTTAATTACATACAAACGAATCAAAGAGGCGGTGAAAGGTTATCTGTTAATAGAGCATATTTGTATCCTATAAAAAATCGCAAAAATCTAGTGGTCAGTATGCGCAGTCATGTGAACAAAGTGATAATCGATCCTGATACGAAAACGGCAAAGGGTGTTGAATTTTCCAAGCATGGAAGAAAAATAAAGGTATTTGCAAAAAAGGAAGTCATATTGTCGGCAAGTGGAATAGGGACTCCGCACCTTTTGATGTTGTCTGGAATTGGGCCTGCCGATCATTTACGCGAATTTGGTATCGATGTTATAGCCGACCTCCCTGTAGGTCAACATCTCATGGATCATGTTGGTTACGGAGGTCTAGTATTTCTAGTCAATGATAGCACATCAATTGTTTTGCAAGACTTTTTAAATCCAGCCAATCCTACTATTCCGGATTATTTAACCGAACGAAAGGGTCTTGGAACAATCGTCGGAGGCGCTGAAGGTCTAGGTTACTTTAACACCAACAATCCGAGCCCTGATGATGACAAACCGAATGTTGAACTAATGCTCGCAAGTCTTAGTATACTATCATTTTGGCTGGCTCACCGACTTTTCGAACAACCTGATTATAAATTTGAAGAGTTATGGGGTGATCATGTTTACGAACGTGCTTGGACAATTTGGCCCATGTTATTGAAACCTAAAAGTCGAGGAAAGGTTTTGTTGCGAAGTTCAAAACCAACCGATGCCCCAAGGATATATCCCAATTACTTTGAAAATCCAGATGATGTTCGAGCCAGCATCGCGGCTATTCGTATGGCAATCAAGATTAGCGAGACACAAGCAATGCAAAAACATGGATCGACATTGTATAGACGTCAAATGTGGGGTTGTGAAAATCATGAACAAGATTCTGATGCCTATTGGGAATGCGCGTTGAGAGCATTTAGCATTACTCTGTGGCATTATTCAGGAACTGCTAAAATGGGAAAAGAGGATGACCCGACCACCGTGGTGAATCCAAAGTTACAGGTATACAGTTGTCTATAATTTAATTACTTACAAATTAGTTAGTTACAAATGTCTTAATAAGATATTTACTTGTAATAGGTAAAGGGAATAAAGAATCTTAGAGTTATTGATCCTTCTATAATGCCAGATATTGTTGTCGCGCATACCAACATTCCGACAATTGCAATTGCTGAAAAAGGAGCAGATATAGTAAAAGCAGATCACGGTTATATTTAATAATAGGCGTAAACTAATGAAATGCAAAAATGTTCCGATTGTTACATTATTATATTTAAATCTTTATAGAAAGAAATAGTTATGCATGAATAAACCGGTACGAAATGTTCGATGTGTATTGTTTGTTATCTGTATTTAACTATTAGACAAATTTTCAAATATACTTGTATAAGTAAGTTCCATTCACCTAATAACCCAATAACTCAAATATGTCAAAATTATATGTCAAATGTAAATATTTATTGGAAATGTGCAACAAGATCCTTAGAACTTAGATTTTGTCATGAAACATGCATTTGCAAAATAGCTCGAAAGGATGATCCAATAGCTGTTGTTCATTGTAAACTTTAGATAATTTCGCTATATTACCTAATGTTATAATAGTAATGTTGAAAAAACTAAGCGTAAAAATGATTATTGTTGTAGGTAAAAGCAACAAATGGATTGAGAGTATACATGATAATACTTCAATATATAAGCCACCATTATATTATAGTACTTAAATATATAAGGTATTTTAAGAATATTCATACATTACATTCTCTACGGTAAACCTTAAAATTAAAATTAAAAATATTAATGTTTATTAAAATCTGATAACACGAGAGTGAAATGAAAGATCTTGTCGAATCGACAATTATCGCCTGTGTCTTGCTCAGTTTTTATAAAAGACGAACCAGAACGTATCGCGGCACCGGTGTGTGTCTGTGAGTTTGTGAATCGAAAAAAGAGCCCGCGAAGTGGAGGCTTGGCAAAACCGGCACAATTGGTTCAGTGGGGCGGTGCCCCATCGGCCTTGGCCGAGGACAGTGAACTTCGCATGCTTGCTTTCTCTGCTGCACATACACACAAATACATATACACACATATGGTGTCGGATTCGAGGACAGGCCCTGCCCCGCGAGAGAATTTTAATCGGCGCGATGTAAAAGGGGCTCCCTACACGAAAACACTTTTTAGCTTTTGTTTTCGTCTCTCGCTTCAAGGCTCGAACGTGTTTTTTTCGGATCTCTGCTCTGCTGCAGGCCTCTACAAGGGATGGGGGTCTATATCGCGTGCTCGTGCGTTATATTTTTTGTTTGGCTTGATTTTTTTTTTAAGCCACGAGGTAACTGACCGAGAAGAGCTCTCTCAAGGAGAAATATTATTTTGGTTATAGAAGCTGGGCATAACGAAAAAAATAATTCTCGGGTAGAGCAATATTTGACCTGATATAATTGCACGAGTGAAATAAAAGAAGAATCTGCGACGATAATGAATAAAACGCAAGGCAGCTTTTATTACATGATTGAAGTATTTAAATTACGGTCAGAACGCAGCGTACGGAATTGATAATTACACTACGAGAGTAAGCGAGGTGCCCCTTTAATTTTCGACTCAAACGCAATTATTATAGCAATGCTCTCGGCAATGGTAGTAGTGTGCCAGTCGGGCGCAGCGTCTGTAGGCAAAAGGCTTGTATAAAAACATGCGTTTTGTTGCAGCGTCTCTCTCTCTCTCTCTCTCTCTCGCTTGTGCCGACGAGAGTGCATTAACCCGACGAGTTTTGCTCACTGCATCCTTCCTTCCAGTCGACTTGAGACAGTTAACGAGTTCCCAGAACAAATCCTGCAGCCCTAAGTTCGAGTCTAAATTTTGCCAAGCTAATTTCATCCACGAACTTGTATCTTCGAATCCCACCAAATATTCATTTGGTCAATGGCGGCGCTGTTTTCTCTATTCTTCCTAGTTTCATTGCGGAATTGCTTTTATCGAACGACAACAGTTTGCGAAACAATTTAAAGTTCTAATCGCAAATTCTGCGGTTGTAAGCTGTACACCGTCATTAACAATTCCCGATGTCTTATATTCAACTCATGCTGACAAAACACAAAAGAAGTGTACCAAAATAGAACTGCAAAGAATATATGTATGAGTAGGGGAAGGCCGGCGCTCTTGGCATGATAATCGTACATAGTCGTTATAATTGAAAATCAATCGCTCACTATCTTTATTATTAATGAACGACACACATCGACGTTCTTATTGCGAATTGTGTCTCATATATTTATAGAGTCTAGAGACATTGCTCTTTCTCTCTCCCTCTCTCTGTCGCGGTGACAACGTGGCAGCATTGGTGCAATTTCGAGAGTGCCATTTCTCTGTCACTTACGTATTACAGATGCTCCCCCTTCATCTCCTTATATCTTTTACTTTCTTTTTGACGCGTTAGATACCTTTTATTTCGCTTTTCATTCTTTATTTAGACGTAGTTTTTTTCTGTTTCGTGCTCGTTCTTCATTGTGCTACCCATCACTCATTCAATTCAACGTGAACCGTATGTTAGGTTGCAGTATATCTGGCGCAAAAGGATAGTAAAGAAATTATTTATGTTCGTTAATGTTTTTTTCTTAATAATGTTCGTTTCTTGCTACTATTGTTAATTATGAATCAATTAAATGTTAACAAATACTTTGATAATAATTTTCAAATGTATAGCACATCAACGAATCAATAAGTGAAGTTATAAACGGGAAAAACGGTTAACCAACGCGCCTGACCAAAACTAGTTTCACCTACTGGTCATATGTGTTATTAAATTTAAAATCAAAGTTCATTCTGATAATTTAATCTTATAGTTTTATCTGATGCACGATCAAGTACTGACATTGCTTTCATTTTGAACTCGACTCCTCATGAAAGAAAAGTCGTGAACTATTATTTAATCCATTATAATAACAAAATCTACTATCATTGCAGTTTGCGTCAAGCTATTAGTTTCATTATACTAACAAAACTCTTATCACCAATAACTAGGCAAAGAAGAAAACTTCTCTTGTACGGCAAATTCTCGAAAAAAAAGTTGTATATTTTTGGTCGGACCCAATAATCCATGTTCCATTAGGGCAATAATATCTGACGGAATGCAGAGTATCGTCGAGAGCAGAGTTAGCCAAGCGCGACGGAGCGCAAACTCCTCCCGTGCAGCTGCAACGGTCATTGGGTTCGATGCACTTGTAACAGAGAGAGAGAGAGAGAGAGAGAGAGAGAGAGAGAGAGAGAGAGAGAGAGAGAGAGAGAGAGAGGAGGCCACGCTCCGAATGACTCAGGCGCGACGGAGAGAGAAAGAGAAGGATAGGCAAAAGCGGCCTTGATCCGAGGTACGTCGCACCTTGACCGTATCTCTTTCTCTCTTTTTGCGATGCGAACTCAAGTCAATTTGTTACGGCCCGCCGTCGTCGACTTCGATTCGACCGCAATGGTTGTAAATATAAAATATGCAAGACTACTAGCTCGAGGGTTACTCGTCTGTCTTTTCTTTTTTCGTTTTTTTTTTTGTTTCGTTTCCTCGATATAAAGTGTATTCTTTAGATATTTACATATCGCGCTAATGATACAAATCGCGCTTCACACGCTCTCCAAACATTCGTTAATTAAGTTGTTAAAAAGTAAAATTATGCGTAACAAATAGTTTTCTCACTTAATCACAGTAGCAGATGTAATTTTAATCAGTCGATTTATTATACGCTCAAGCTTATAAATAAATTACACGCTCGGCGATGGTAGTAGTAGCGCATTTAACACCTAACACGATAGTTTTACATAAGTGTGACGCGGCATATCCTTTTGATCTACCATGCGCTCCTTATTTCTTTTCATGAATGCGTAGTTCCTTCGAGCAATTGCTTTTCTGATAGGATTAAATCTGCTCTTTCTTTCTTTTTTTTCGTCAAGCTGCAGTGACACTGAAGTGCGTTACATGATAAATATGATTTTGAAAGTCAAAGGTCTCTTTGAGAGCATCGAATAGAACGTTATTTTGGCAATTCCTTTACGAGCAATTCAAAAAACAAACATGCGGTACATGACTCGAAGCATTACTTGTCTATAATAACCAAAAGCGCCAATAAAACTTGTTTCTCGCACATCAATTATACATTCATCAATTAAGTCCAACAGCATTAAACACTCTCGACTGCTCCTGTGCTTAAAATCCCTAGTATGCGACTTGTTAGCTGGCGTAGTAATTGCACACGCGTCAATCAGTGTAGCTCGTGTAATTTACAGAGAGAGAGAGAGAGAGATTTCCCTTTGCGTCTAGGCCTGTCTCTGAAGCGAGCGAGCGCAAAGTGCGTCGTCCCTTTGGCGAAGTTCATTGTCTCCACACTGCGGCGGGGAAGGGAGAAGACAAAGGCGGCGCGGACGGTGCTCATCTCTCATAATATATTCCTCTGCGTGTATAAGTATCAACAGCGGAGTATCATCGGCGACTGAAAAGAGAGGGTGCGTTTAAGGTCAGCACATACTCGTGCGACAGAGAAAAAGACGAGGAGAGATATTACTTTGAACTTTATCGACAATAATACTTTCGACACATCCGCTCTTGCAGCTAAAAGCATCGACCATGAGTGCGATCAAGAGAGCGCATTATACTGCTTTTTATCGCGGCGTCTTCTTTGGAAATTACGAGTTCACCAGACGTCGCGCCGATTGATACTCGTTTGCGCGTCAATACCGTACGCATGTACTAGCTCAAATATTTTCGATGACGATTGTAATTTATATTCTTCCAATGATTATCTGCCTGGAATTTTAAATTATTGTCATTTTAACTAACTTCTCAGCTTTGTGCTTTTTGCGTGAAATTCACAAGCGATCGTTAATTCAGTGGAGATATTGTGCCTTTTATCGATAGAATTTAAAAATACAAGCCATTTGCCAAATCAACGAGTAACATATAAAAATATAAAAACTGTCGTCGGATAAAATAAGCCAGCCGGGAGAGACGTGTAAAGGTCAACTCTCCTGCGAGAAAAAAAGCAATCAGGTTCGAAGTCGAGAGTGCATCCCACAGAAATGTTCTATCTGGCTTGAATTTGAAAAGGAAAAAACCAATGTCGGGCCACTCTTGGGTTTCCTCGAAGAATCATGGATATCTAAAAGAAGAACAGTAGAAGAGAGAAAAGAGGATAACAGCGCGAGTATTTTTACCAAAAACAGCTGTCCGTGTGTGGAGCAAGGTTACCGTACCAAATATATCTCAAAAGATAGGTGGTGACCTTTTTCATTGTTATTTACTCAGCTTTATAATCGAATAATCAATGAATACTTATATGATTCAGTATCTTCTGTAACGCAACTGATGTGAGAAATTTTTTATTGCATTAATGTATTCGACTGGTTACCACCGTCAACTCTAGATGAAAGAGTTGTATAGTACATTGAAAAATCATGTCAAAGTGGTATTTTTAAGAATCTCTGGAAAAATGAATATTTGCCAGATAACGCTTCATCACAACCGGAAGCGCGCAAACAAAATCCAGGACTTCGGTAATCCACATTTGACACGTCTATTTTTTCTTTTCTCAAAAGCCGATTTAAAATCTCTGTTGCCGCCCTTGTCACTTTAAATGTCCGATAGCATCGCCTCCAAGGCATATTTATATGCAGACGTGTGCAGCGATGAAG